AATTGAGCGTGTTCCCAGAAGAGTTGATCTGCATTTGCTGATTATAAACAAGATAATTGTGGATCGTCCGGCCTGATAAAAATCAGACCTGTCACCACATTCTGCTAAACGGCCTCCGTGAAGGGAGGATACACTTATAAGGTTTTGGTTTATATTTGTCTTGTGCAACCAAATCGTATCCACATCAGAATAGTAACAGAGATATTCTATACTATTACTGACGAGTTCATCTTCACGAGAGGAGCGCCAGAATATTCCTGCAGAGGCTAGAGGAACACCTGACTTGACACACGAGACAACATAAACAAATAATATGTGGTATTATGATAAACAAATAGCAATGTGAGTTATGAGATGATATTTACTGATCCAAAATTCACACTATGGTAACTCTCTGCAGGTTGTAGTGTGTGTGTGTGTGTGTGTGTGTGTGTGTGTGTGTGTGTGTGTGTGTGTGTGTGTGTGTGTGTGTGTGTGTGTGTGTGTGTGTGTGTGTGTGTGTGTGTGTGTGTGTGTGTGTGTGTGTGTGTCTGTGTGTCTGTCTGTCTGTCTGTCTGTCTGTCTGTCTGTCTGTCTGTCTGTGTGTGTGTGTGTGTGTGTGTGTGTGTGTGTGTGTGTGTGTGTGTGTGTGTGTGTGTGTGTGTGTGTGTGTGTGTGTGTGTGTGTGTGTGTCTCTGTTGCTGTAACTCGACACTAATCCCGGAGTGATCAGCGGTGGAAATGGTACAAACTGACCCGAGACAAACTGAGGCACCTGCCGCGTTAATGTGAGAGCTCGCAGAAGATGCTTTGATTTACTGCCTCCTCTTTTCCCCCCGGACCTCATTATGAAAAGGTCAGCGTGAGGCCAGCGTCGCTGAGAGGATGAACCTCCACGATACACAGAAGTGAACATGAGACGGGGAATTAAAAACATTCTGATAAGACAAGAGGGAGTCCATCGAAGTAAAAACAAATGTGAGACTTATCAAACACACATAATCATACTAGTGGGAAAGAAGACATACAAAATACACATTAAGTCATTTATTTGCCCAATGTTGTCTAATTGCGTCTGAAATTGTCTCTAAAAATTAGAGCAGAGGATGAACTTCGACGATACACAGAAGTGAACATGAGACAGGGAATTCCAAACATTCGATAAGACAAGAGGGAGTCCATCGATTGAAATGCATCTGTAGGATTGCATAGCTTTCTTACTGTATATGGTCTATTAAAGGTGCTTTGTTATCTTCATGCACTACCAAATTTAAGATTTTGGGATATTTTTCTTCAATAACATGTCACATTTTAGACTTATCAAACACACATAATCATACTAGTGGGATAGAAAACATACAAAATACACATTAAGACATTTATCTGACCAATTTTGTCTAATTGCGTCTGAAAATGAGAAGTGAGAATTAGATGATTTCAGGGAGGAGAGAAACTGCCGTTACAGACCATTTACATGCACCAAATTCTATATTACACACCACAGGAAATGGAAAAGGTATAGTACATGCAAATAAATATGAGACACCTGTTTTAACAAGGCATAACATCTTTATTGTTATACACATAACTTCATCTCCAAAGACTTTGCACAAATCAGTGGGGTAACATGAACCTTGAGATATCAAAAGTCTCCCGCAGTTCCTCGTCATTTCCGAAAATACTCAAACAATACATCTGCCTTTCACATCCCCAAAATGGTACATACAGTACAACCAATTAGAAATAAAGTATTTTTTTATCCACTGTCAAACATTATCATATGTGCATTACATTACCAATTACAAACAAGTTATATTCATTGTCAAAATACAGGTGTGCAAATTGTTAGAAAAATACCAACTCATATACCAGATTCTGGATTGTGCTCTGTAAAAATCCTTACAAATAGTATATAATAATCTATATATAAATGACTCCAACATGCAATGCTGCATTTCCAAAAATATCCCATACACTGTTCTGTTAAACCCTCCGAAGCTCCACCGCGCTCGCGTGAAGCCGTTAAAACAAGAAAAGAGGGCGTGGCAAAAAGAGGGTGAAAAATGCATCACATTTTGTCATAAAATCTTAAATAATTTAGTGTCCTGGTCTGCGTTGATGTCCACATTTTAATATATTGTTTGCTAATATCTGAAGCTACTCCATATGTGATGTGTGCAGCAAATAAAACCATAGAAAGCCCTTTTTTTTGTTGAATGATGACCATCGATTGTACATTGAATAAATAATTAACCTCGGTCGTGATGACAGAAAAATGCATATAAATAACCACTTTTTTTTAAATCAAAGAAACTCATGCCATTTCTGCAACAAAGACTACAAACAGAGGCTCTAACGTGTGAGTCAGGCGATGACAACAGTCGAATATCCCCCGCACGACGACAAAGTTAAGACAAGGACGGCATCTCTTCCCCTCCCCCTTCCTCATCTCTTTCTGAGGTAAACAGAAGTTCTGTTAAAGACTTTTTAAAGGCATCTCTCCCTGGCGCCACATTCCCCATGGCCTCGACCTGAATAAACCCAACTTCCTGATCCATCTGACCCACCCAGTCTTTGCATTTTAGTGGAGACATTCAAAGCAAAAAGAAAAGAACAGAGGAACTCAAACTGCTTAATTTCCTTCCTTCTGGCTTAATAAATAACATAAGACATTTGTCACTCTCTCAGAGCTACGTAGCTTTTAAACCTCCTTCCTCAACACAACCGGCTCAAAACCAGAGAATTTAAATGATGAGAGTCTGACAAAATAAATGGAAAATAATGATTTTTTTTAATATATTACTATACCCCGCCCCCCCCCCCCTTCTTTTTGGGAGATACAAAATATACTATAAGCTTTTCTTTGAAAAAATAAAACATATTGCACTTTCAGTAACGTGTAATGTCAAATTACAACTTAATAAAACGAAAAAGGGGGGAAACTAAATGAGAGTGGGGAGAAATGTTCCTTTTTCAACTACTAGCAACATTCAACAACGAACAAAAAGAAAACAAACGAGATGTTAAAACTGTACCATGCACGGGGAGGTTTCAGAGCAGTGCATCCTGGGTAACGGTGGAGGGAGTTGTGTGAACAGAGTAAGACTGAGTGACCATGGAGCAGTTTCCTCTTGCAGGATTTGGTGTAACCCCAGAAAACGAGCCCCTCCCTCAGCGATGCCCCCCCCCCAAAAGGGTCGCCTTCTCACATCTCCCCATCAAAACGTCAGATGGCAAAATAGAAAGGCAGCTGTTTGCTCCCGTCATATTTCAAAGTGCATCTCCACACTCCTGCGACCGTCCGTTTCCCACACTGTGTGGTTTTGCATTTTTAAACTTTTATAATTTGTATTTATCATCTCACTAGACACAACATTTCCCCCCCAGGAGGAGCTGCTAATCGACAGGTGTCGCCCCCGAAGAAAAGGCCCCTGACAGGGTGGTGTTTTTTTGGGGGGGGCCTTCACCTTCACTTCCTGATTCTCCTACGGCCGCAACCCCGTGTCTCACTGGGCGCCATTTTCTTTTTTCAAGGCCGGCGATGCAACTGTACCGGCCGCGAAGGTTTCACTGCAACATGAAGATAAGATAAGAAGTTCTTTGTTGATCACAATTTGGGACATTTTGGTGTTGCAGCAGCATCAAAAGACATGGCATTAGGCGCATTCACAACCGCAGTACTTTTCCCACAAAGGTTCATCAGAACTTAGTTCATGAGAACTCTTTAGTTCTCATGAACTAAGTACAGATCGCGTTCACACCGGAATAAGTCCCTGAGGGAGGATTAGGCAAATGAAGCCGCTGACGTCACTTCTTCTTCTGCTTTGGGTTTACTGGCAGGCCGCAAACAACTTCACGGCGTATACTGCCAGCCGGAGTCCCCGGCCAGAAGTCCCCGGAGTTGGGGACTGGCTTCAGTAGAAGCTGCTGGGACTCCACCGCTCCCATGTTTCCTTTTGTGTTGCCATAAGTTATTCTCTCTGCGTTGGTGCGCTGGGCTAATGCTAATGCTAATAATGCTAATGCGAGGATAATAAAATGGCGGCTTCACAAAACCTTTTTGGAGTTTTACGGGACGTGGTTTGCAATCCGCCCAGCCAATCAGACATAGGAACCTTTTTCTCCCAAGAAAGTTCCTGCTCTCTAGCAGGGACGGAAAAGGGGTGAAAAAGGTTCTGATGAACTAAGTTCTAGTTCCGGCTCTTTTTGTTGTGAACACGACATTTCGGAACTATATCGGAACTAAAGTGGGAAAAGTACTGCGGTGTGAACGAGGCTATTGTACAATAACAATGTAAAGACTAGAAATAAACAAGGTCTTATATTGAAATCTGTTTGAAGAGTAACCAAAAACTGAAGTTCTGAACCCTCCGACGTGTCTCCTTTTTGATTTTCAAGAAAACGTGAGATACACCGGGTCATTAAGGTATTTGACTCAATGTTAACTAGTACGGTAATTTCAAATTGTGTACAGAAGTCACTAACATTACAGACAATATGCAGAATTATACACAGGAACAACGCACGTTTTACCTCACGACACTACGTTTTTTTGTAAAGTCTAGGCTGAGAATAACATAGCAAGAGGTGTGTTCAATCTTGTTGTTGGTGATACGTTCCGTAGAGAACGAGATACGTAACACTATAATTCATGCGTGTTGAGTACACACAAGTCCACATTTGCTACAGATTTCACAGAGGGGAAGACGTCCCGGACTCGATGAGTTTGTCGATCTTCCTCGGTCACCTCTAATTCTCCAGGGACAACTGTTTCGTGCCTCCTTTGGGTTGTTTCTAAGAGGGTTAAAATGCTTTTCCCGCGACTTGGGGGTTTGCTTTTGGGGTGAGGGGGGAGCAAGGGGCAAGGGTGCACCGTTTACGGCACCAAGTGCGGAGGGGGGAGCGGAGTGAGCGTCGTTTCTTCTTCTTCCTAGTCGAAGGGTTGTCGGTCGTCGTCGGCGTTTGGTCGTTCGCTCCTCTTTGGTAGGGTCCTTTTGGTCGTTCCTCCTCTTCTGCTTCAGTCGTCCTTCACACTCATTTCTCCCTTTCCCAGGTACAACGACTCCGAGGGGGTTTTGCGACGATTTAAGTGTCGGCAGGTGGACGTAGACATAGAGGAGGAGGAGAAGTCGAGGGACAATCTGACCTCTCCGAGGTATCACTCATGGTTTCGATGATTGCAGTTTCGGGGTTGCTCCCAGGGCAGAGTGGGGGTCTGGGGCTCCTCCTATCTCTTCTTCGGTTGGTAGGTCCTAGACCGTGCTTACGGGGGTGTCGGGGGTTTTAGGGATGTCGTAGTGAGGCTTTGGAAGAGATGCCCTCTTGTTCTCGCTGGGGTTTGAGTCCTTCGTCCTAAGGGATCTTCGGTTTCTCGGAGCGTCGCGTTTCTTTCGGTTCGTACCTCTAGCGTTCTGTTCGTACCTCCTCTGTCATTCACGTTCTTACTCAGAAATTTGGAACTTTATTCTGTCGTAAAGACATCATTTGTGTTCGGAACTCTCTATAAATAACAACCAAGAAATGAAACGAATCGCCGACACTGCCTTCAGTACACATCCACGCATCAAGGAAATGATCGGGTTGTAATTCGAAGAGGAAATCGAATCGCCACCACTCTGCACTTCAGTACATTGGCAACGCCATCAAGGAAATATCGGGTTGTAAAATCGGAGGGACAATCGAAATTCGCCACCACTGCCACTTCAGTACGACTGGCACGACTCAAGGAAATATCAGGGTAATCGGAGGAAATCGAATCGGCCACCACTGCACTTCAGTAGCACTGGCACTCGAGCCATCAAGGAAATATCGGGTTGTAATCGGCGGGAAAGTGAATCGCCACCACTGCAGTTCAGGTACACTGGCACGACCGGTCAAGACAATATCGGTTTGTAATTCGGTGGAAATCGAATCGCCACCACTGCACTTCAGTACACTGGCTCGACATCAAGGAAATATCGGGTTGTAGATCGAAAAAAATGAAATCTTTAGTATTTCACCACCAAGTATACACCTCTAATAGGACGCACTTTTTTTACACGTTTACTAGTAATTGCAACCTTATTAGGTCTTAGTGTACCTCTATGTAGGGACACCGAAAAACATCTCTACGACGGAAGTCCCAGGTCTGAGGTGTAAAACTGTTTATTTTCAGATTAATCTTTGGTCCATTGAACACAGTCTAGATATCCAACATTCGAGTGGTGTTGATGTACAGAAATTGTTAAAATGTATTTTGAGTAATCGTGAGGTTCATATTAATTAAATGTAAGAGTATTATCGTTGTGTCTCTCCACTTTTTTCGTCTGGACTTATTCAAAGAAAAGGAGCTACGAAGTATAAAAAGAGTCAGACATAGTTACCACACTATCAAACATATAATAATACATTATAGACCATAATTAGTATTACGGAAAAGGGAAAAAAACGTCCCAGGATTGAGCCAGGAACAACGATATCCAATACGACGACTTATAACCCGGGAACGTTAATATAAACAGGTAAAAGACTGTACTATACGACAAAGAGTCATGCAAGTAAATATAGATGGCGTGTGAAATAAGTAGTCAGACCATTTACCTTTGCGTGCTCTACTAAGATTACGGCTCCACAAGTTTCACTCTCCGAGGAGGGCTTACCTACAATGGATTATAATTGTCAATCAATGGAGTGGCCTTACTAGTGTATCCCGACGTTTGATTCCTAATCAAAAGTAATAACTAATTGGACAAGGTAATTAATAGACCTAGCTTACCATCCAACTAACAGATATTTCTACATTTTCTTGCTGGATAGTCACAAGGTGTTTTTACATTTATTATATAAAAATGCACTTGTCAATCTTTCTATAGTTGAATTGAAAGTTTCTCCTCATTCCTTTTACCTTTGATTACTGTGAAATTTTTCGTGATTAGTCTCTGCAAGACAAAGAAACAAAGAAAAAATTTGTAGTGAGTCTCATTGACATACTTGGCTAGATAGATGATTTGAGACCCCCTAAAATGACAAGAAGGGTAAAAGGCTTATGCCTTCAATTCTCGAATTTTTTTACGCCTTTCCTTTCCTTGTAAAAATTAATCGTACAAATATACACATGAGACTTCAATTTGAGGGTTAAAAGAGTGCAAATACCCTAGTTTATAGATTCAATACTAGTGTTTCCGTAGGTCCTCAACTCGTTTTCATTTTGGTCATTTCCATTCCAAATGAAACGGATTCACTTATGCGTGTCAAAGTCTGAAATTTGTAGGAAACTTAATTACATAAATATTCATAAATGTGTTTATACTTAGACTGGAAAAATATGAGGTACACAGTAATTCAGGTGGGATNTAAGAAGAAACAACATCCTTACTTTTTTTTTAAATTGTAGATCTTGCAGTTAATCATTTGATTACAGTAAGCAAATGCACTGAATGCCATGTTACTTTGTCTTAACCTTTTGGCAAGAGGGTCTTTACTTTTCTGCTTCTTTGTTTTGGCGCCACCTGAAAGGACATGCACATCAATAATTACCACAGTCGGTAGTGTCACGGCAAACAATACTCTTATCAAAAAACGGATTCAAAAACGTTTCATCTCGTGCTTAGGTGTAGGATGCATACATGGCATTGCCTCAGCATATACCACTTATAGTCCAGTTAGAAAAAACCTATATGAATATTTGACCACATACTCTCAGAATGTCATTGGGGACTGACATGTGCACCTCTTTAGTGTAGAAAGATTATTTAAGCTGTGTGTATAAATAAACAACAAAGGGCAAAAAAAGGAAGTCATCATATTTTTGGGTGTGGAACCATAAAAGGGTTGAAGGCACCCAGTTGAATTATTCCCCAGGCTCTTATTTCATCAGTGGAGAGAGAGATCAATTCTAACAGATGAGCCGGGGGGGGCAGCTTACCTGCCTATCGAGTTGACACTGGCATCGCTGCTAGAGCTGGAATCACTACTTGCTGCTGCTGCCCTGAGCTGTGCGCTGCTGCTGCTCGCACTGAGGCGTGAGCCAGCCGGGCGTCAGGGGCCCGCCATAGACTTTAGCACTGTTAACGAAAAATAAAAAGGTAAAGGTTTAATTTGCACTCTCCGCCGTGCCTTGTGCATTGGCGTCGCGTACGACCGGTCATGCCGGCGATGCACAATTAGACCGCCCCCCCTTTACAAGCTTGAATTTAAATTATTCTCATCTTCAGATTTCATGATTGTACCTGTTTATAATAACACCTTGTTTAATTATGCGACCAGTAAGTACATTTTTGAATCCTTATAGCTGCCTCAAGCTCCAACAACTTCCCTTCAACACTCCTCCACTCTTCTGCGGCGTGATGGACACGTTGCTGTCCTGTTGATTGCCAGGCTTCACCAGCAGTCTGGTGCTAAATGTACTGCTGAGTGCTTTGTCTCTAACACGACCTCTTGATTATTAATTGCTTTCTACTAGCTAGGCTTAGCTTGAGAACTGGCTGACCTCCTTGATTTTTTTGGAATAGTTGCATGTGATTAGCATTTCGGTCCCATCCTAGTTGTTGTATGTATAATAAAATCACTCGTTATGGATCGTAATCTTGCCATTGACATCAGGGACAGCAGAAAGCTTACACATCTTCCGCGCGCAGGCTGAAAACTCATCTCTTTCGATCCACTTCGAGCGATAGAATTACTAACAAAAGAACTTATATTACTAACAAAGGACTGGCTTTCATTCTAAAGCTAGTTGAGTAGCACTTGAAATGTTTGGCTCTATGAAAACCTCTATTGATTCTGTTTTCTTCAAGTTTGTTATCTCTTGGTCAAATGGCCAGCTTATTGGGTAAGTCGCTTCTCCGGATAAAAGCCGTCAGCTAAATGCCCAATGTATTGTCATTACCTGGTATGTAAATGCAAGGAAAGGAGTGGGTTTTTAAACGAGATTTACGAAACAGGCAGAGTTGGAAGCCAGAGTCTAACCTGGATGGTGGCAATTCGTTCCATAACTTTGGAGGCTGCCAACAGCAAAGGCGCTCTTCGTCTCCTCGCCTGCTACTAACCTTGATTTTGGGACGGCCAAAGGAGTCTGTCAGCAGACCTCAGTGACCGATGTGCGGTCTGCTATGGGTTTTTAAAAGATCTGCCAGGTACGGTGCGGTGCTAACCGGTTTAGGGCGTTGTATGCAAACAATAACATTTTATTCTAAAACTGACTGGTAGCCAATGTAAAGAGGCGAGTTACAGGCGTAATATGTTCACGCCTGCCTGTCCTTGTAAGGAGGCGTGCAGCAGCATTCTGGACCAGCTCTAGGCGAGACAGGGAAGCCTGGCCTACTCCAATGTACAGAGCATTGCAGTAATCCAGTTTAGTGGATATAAAACAATGTATTACTCTCTCAAAGTCATTCAAAGAAACGAAAGGCTTGACCCTAAAATTCTTAGCTGAAAAAAGCTGGATTTTACCACAAAATTGATCTGTTCGTCTAGTTTCAAATCACGATCAATCCGTACACCCAGGTTTGTTACAATGGGTTTCACATATGGGACAAGAGAATCCAGCACAGACAGGGCATTGGGGCCACCACTGGGTCCAAACATTATCACCTAGGACTTTTATTCATTGCATTTTAAAAAGTTCAAGGCCATCCAGGCTCTGATGTCCTGCAGACAGTCAGACAGACGTTGCAGAGGGTTTGGGTCATTTATTTTCAGGAGCATGTAGATTTGCGAGTCATATTTTGAGTGCATTTACACTTGTACTTCCATGTGGTCAAACCCTATCCAAATGCAATCCAATCACCCAAATAGCATGTAAGTGCAAGCTGTAAAGGGGGTATCACATTGTTAATCAAATCCAGATCTTACGCGGTTGCTGTTTATTCTTAATTAAGTGCTGCTCTTTACTGGCAACCTGAGATGCACAGGCATTCTTTAGTTTCCCGGTCTGCATTCCTCCTGTGACCAGCTTCGTTTCTGCAGGAGGAAGACATAATAACCCTCCATCATCATTAAGCATTCTACAGTTAAACAGATTCTGTCAAAAGAAGAGGTATATTTGCTGAAATAGGAAAGCTTAAGCAAGGACTTACTACAAGCTTTCTTGTTGACCTTCCTCAGACACGCTGCAACAAACCTCTGCAGGGCCCTCAGCGTGGAAGGCTTGAGCATTTCGAAGTCAACTTCAATCTCCTCCATAGAAGAGTCTTGCAGGCAGTTCTCCCTGGCATGGATGATCTTCACCAACTTGCCCAGTTTGTCACCAGGCAGCTTGTCGACGTCCGATTTCAGCTGCCTCTTCTCCTGGTAAGTCACTGGAATTGATGGGACCTCATCCTCACACGTTAAAGGTACCCCATGAATATTGTGTCTGTTGCCGTGCCTAGACAAATATACAAAAACATCTAATGTTAACTCAGCATCTGTTTTCAAAAAAATTACTTCAAAATTCCCTGTTCAAAGTATAAAATATAATATAAAAGTGGGTTCACTTACAAAGTAGAGCTTTTGCGGTTGGCCAGTTTTTCTACCATAGATTTGTATTTCGAGGATATGTGCTTTAATCTAGCGATATCCTTTTCTTTAGCTTTTTTTTCTTTTTTCAACTTTGCTTTCTTCTTATGTTTCATCACAGGCTCTTGGGCAAGTCTCTTCAGCTCATTGCGGACAGCTTCCAACTGAAAAGCCAGACATTAATGAGCCAATAAGGTGAAATGCACTGAAGTGAAGAACTTGTGAAAAAGCCATTTGCTCGGTTACTGGCATGTTTCTACCAACCTGTTCCTCTAGATTGGCCAGCTGAACCGACACCCCTCCTGAGGAACTCTCTGCCTCTGAGGAGCTGTCGCTTTCAGAGCTGGCTGATGTTGACACACTTCCAACTCGCTCTGACTTTCCTTTCTCGAGTTGCTGACGAGGTATGGGACAAACATCTACTCCTTCGGGAACCTTCAGATATCGGGCCTCAAAGACGTCCTGTTTATATAAAATTCAAAATACGTTTTGAAGTAGTTAGAAATGATAACACCACTACTAATGCTTTGATTTCAGTATGGCCTAGTAGGGATCACAGTTCATGGACATTTATAAAGAACTCTGTTAGTGATCCTATGGTTATTGTTAACCTAATATTTCTGTGTAGCATACACGGTTCTCAGCAAACATGAAAATTATAGTTAGATATTAAATTGGCAACATATACATAGCTGACATTTTTCTCTATAGCTTGAGTGTCTACATCAGAAGAAAATGCCACAGACAAAACCTACAGCAGTTCAGTGAGATGTGGCCTAGGCTAATTACTAATAATCAGTACAGTAAATCGGTTATCACCACAAATAGTGACCATTTCATTTTAACCTAAATCATTTCTGCAGATAAACAAAACTGCAGGTACCATTCGACCAGGAGTAAAGCTATAGAGCATTGACATTAAGGGTGGGTCCTCATTTTGTTACATGCACTGTATGTGGGCTTAGCTGCACTCCATTCTACCGAACAAAAGGTGGCGGTGCTAACATTCCAGGAAATATAACGCTGTGACCTTCAACGTACCAAACAAGACAAGGAGGAAGGCTTCTGCTAGCAAGCACATGTTGATGTTCACAGTGTAGGTTTAAAATTCTTCCAAAAATGGAGGTTGCAAACATTTAATGAAGAAGATTATACATTCTGGACATTTATGAAACCTTAAGCATATACGAAATGCATTTGAATGGGAAACATACAAAAGTTTGCTTTCAAAACATTTCCACATGGTACCTTTTCGTATTAGCATAGTGATTTTAAAGAACGAGAAATATATACCTGCAGTTTTCTTGCCATGTAAACCACCTCGTGTGACGGTGGATTGTATTTGTAACAGTTGGAGAACATCAGGCGTACATCAGCTGCAAATTCCTTTGCCTTTTCATACTCCCTTTGATCCATCTTTTTCTGAGAAAATAAGACTTTGATGAAAATTGATCGGACATATATTGAAAGTAACATAATATGCTAATCATCCAAATATTCTTACCCTGATGTTGCCGAGGTCCATAGGCTGCTTGATGATGTCATGGTAGTCATGCAGGCCCAGAGACACAGCATCAACAGGAGTGTAAAAGGGCCAGGCATAGGCATAGTGTCTCTTGGACAGCATCTCCTTCAGCATGTCGTTACAGAACCTCAGCTGCTCAGACAGGCGCACCTTGCTCTCACAGGCAGGTAAGTCTTTCTTCAGAGGAGGTTTGATGGGCCTTCCACTGCCTCTCCTGGACAATAACGCACACGGTGCTGAATGTTTCTCAGAGAGGGATTCCTCCCTGCGGCAGATGACGGAGGTGGTGGAGGATGTGGGATCTGCTTTCCTTTTAAAACCTTTTTTTACCTGGGTATTTAGAAACATATTGCACATTTAGAGTAAATTACTATTTTAGTTTAAAAAAGCTGTAGGAAGAATGATTGACCATTTTTTTTTTGTTATGAGATAAGTTGGCCTGTAGGCACATAGACCAATTGTATTGTCCAAATTCTATGAATGATACATTTAGGATTTATTGTAATACTGCTTCCAACTCCAATGAGTATCTAACCCTCTCAAATTGGGAAGTTGTCAGTCTTAAAAAATGCTCATACTGCCTGTGCTGCAGCACCTCTTTTCCCCCTCTGTCTGAAACCAGAGCCCTATCTGCTCTGATTGGTTAGCAGGCCGGCTCTGTTGCAATTGGTTAACAACACACGAGATGTCCCTCCCCTCAGCCTGTCACATACAATGTGTACAAGCCAAATCGAATCACATTTCAGGTGGGGGAGTGTGGAGGAGAGAAACTCCCTCTGGAATGTTAGCCTTTGCAGATCATGTACATGCACACAAACCTATATAACACACTACAGGAGAGCACAAGAGATCCTCATCGTTTTGGCCACAAGGAGCTTTACCTTTTTTTCTTTGAAGCTGTCACTCGTAAGAAAACAAATACAACTTTTCGTACTGAATTAACGAGTCAAGCATCAGAATTGAATTGTAAATTATAATAGATTCAAAGCATTATCGTCATATGCACAATAGCTACAGTCCCAGTCTCCTCCAACAATGCAACATGAATATATATAGGGTATTCATTGTAAAAATCTAGCAAAAAAGACAAAAATCTTTTCAACATGTTGAACACCGGTGTTTAAACGTCGGAATGTAAAGTGTAAAATCTACTTTCAAAGTAATGAAATACTTACTGTGGGATCAATTTGTAGAGAGAGCTGGTAGGGTGGGATACATTTAGGCACATCAGTTGGAATGACTGTAACAGTCTGCTGGAGAACAACTTCTGACATAAGGGATCTGTGCTTTACTGAACCTGCATGAGCTGAGGCAAAGAGGAACGCATGCACAATATGAGAAACCATTTCAAATTAAACTAGAACTACTTCCTTGCGGTTGGGACTAGGGGTGTGCATGATACCTGTATGGTTCTTCCATCCCTTCACTGGTTCCTTTGTATTGTTTGCTGTAAGTTCAAACTCTTCTTTAGGCATGTCGGACAGTTTCTGCAGAAAAAGCTTCTCTAGGGTCTGTGCCATAAAAACAATGTCATCTCCAGGCTGTAGAAAGAGAAGGTGCGTAATAAAATAACTTAGTAAAGCATGTATTGATATACCAATCCTGTTTGAACTGCAGAAATAATCTCCAGCACTGTAATAGCCTCAAATAAAATGTCTCTGGGTGTGAACCCTCTCCTTATGATAGAACAGCAATAAGTGGACATTATATCAGTTCATAGAACTGCTTGAAATGTACAACACTTCCTCACTGTTAATTTTCTATATGTCCATTACTTCTGTGGGGGCAGTTTGACGTTGGTGCATTTGACAGCACCACAACAGTATTCTCTTACCCGATTGTACATATAGCAGTTGGTGAACATGTTGTTGAAGTCTTGTACACAGTCAAGTGCTCCACAGTAGTATTTGTTCTGGAGACGCTTTTCTATACTGGTCAGATCCATAGGCTTTGTGATGATTGTATAATAATCCTGAAAGACAACGAATACACTAGAATGAATACAAAACCCTTCCTTCACAGATCAAAGTCTAAAGAAGCGACTCCACCATAACAACCTGAAACCAGAAAAACATGATGCTAGAGTAATCTCATGACTTACCGGCAGGCCCAGTGCCACAGCATCCACAGGCTGGCGAAAGGGCCATGAGAAGTTATGCTTCCATAAGGCTTTGATCACCACTTTCTCCAGGTACTGCAGCTGGTTGGTGTCACTTCCAGGGTTCTTAGGGTTTATGACCTCTGGGGGAGGGGGGTTTCCGTTCACAGTGGGACAGACTTTTACACCAGACATTGTTTTGTCTGAAGGCCATGAAGAGTATGTTGAATGCTTTGCAGCAATTTGGTGTTCATCACAGGTTTTCCTAAAGACGAAGAAAGTAGGCGCTTCAGTAAACATAGATATTGGGTATATACTGAAAAAACACCCAAAAAACTAGTCAGTCACTGCTTAATACTACAACAGGGCTGAAACATATTCTAACTTACAACAGAATTCATAAATCCTGGTGCCCTACATTACCCACAATGCAACGCAACACTGTTCAGTCCAACATTTGAAAGTGCTAGTTGGTAAGATGGCAATTTAAAGTCAAGCCAATACTGTACTAAAATAGTCAATATGCTTCAACAGGTCCATCCCTCACAAAATATAGTCTGATCATGATCATTTCAACATGAAACAATGTTGAGAATCAGGCAGCCAGCAGACACAGGGGGATGTGATCACCTGCATGTGTGTCTTGAAACAGCAAACAACGATCCCAAAAGTTCTTCTTGTAGATTCTTGTAGATAGTGAGAACAAAAACATAGGATGCCAAGAAGTTCAGAAGTTTTAAGTCTCAGCACTCATCCTAACCTCTCCAGCATAGTATACTGAAAATAAATAGCTTATTGATTGCAGTATGCTCAATATTGCTTCCTTATAAAGACACAGCAAGGCTGGGGTAATGTCAAATAAGCAACACCAACAAGATTGCAGTATCATCAATTCTCTGATTTGTTTATCTGAACAAATTAGTCAGTTGACTGGATGTTCACAAATAATAAATCACCAGCAGAAGCCTATATATAAAATGCTAGTTGAATGGATAGCAACACCATCAGAAGAGAACAGTAGGGGCTCATGAGCCTTTAACCAGACCATGTTTCCAAAGCACTTTTGAGTATGACAATAAGTGAAACAGTAACAGGTAATGGAATCACTTTTGATCGATAGACATTTCCATAAACAGGGTTGTCACAGTTTGCCTGTTCACAGTTCATCTTTCAAAATGTTTTGCCCAAAATACCAGTTATTTTCATGAAAACCAAGCCAAATAAATGAACAATGAGAATCTAAGCTTATTTTGATTTAGATGTTAAAATAAAACAGATATAGATGAACTCAGGGAATTACAATTATTTAAAACATAAACCACTATTCTGACATTCATGTTTTTGGACGTGCAGCTGAAACAATTGGTCAATGCACTTGACAGGAGTTTGTGTATTCAATCATTTAATATTCAGTTGTTTATTATTAGGTGACACTAGGGCTATGCAATTAATCTTATTTTAATCTCGATTACGATTTTGGCTTGCAACGATTACGAAAACAATGTAATCGAAATAAAACGATTAATAATTGTATTATTTTTTTTAAATATATGTAATTGTTTTTTTTAAATTGTTTTTTCAGTTGAATTATACTTAAAGTTCAGGGTAATCAACTGTTAAAAACATACTGTTCACATTTTTTTTTCAATAAATGGATGTTTTCAAAGTAAATGGATAATTTTTTTTAATAATCGTGATATCAATTATTGACCAAAATAATCGTGATTATGATTTTTGCCATAATCGCACAGCCCTAGGTGACATTGCAATGCATTTAGTGGTACTAAGTGATATGATAGAAAGTATGGAGGATGCAAATGATGTTTTTTCTTGTAAGTTTAAAAAGCTTCAATGAAAACGTTTTTTTTTTTAGATCTTTTCCACTCTTAAAAAAATGAACATCAGAAAAATTGAATTAATAATTAAATAATTTAGAAAGTTTCACCACACAAAAATCATTAACTTCATCGCAGATTTTGGAGACCTGAATCACTCAACCTGACAAAAGACTATGCATTTTAAATCATTATTTTAACTAAACATTACCTTTACCTAATGTTAAAATTAGATTCAGTAAGCTGTTGCAGGCTTGGTTTAATAGAAGGCTTGAACTTATAGTTGTTTTCAGATGTAATGTGTGGTGTTGAGCAGAAAGCATGGCTGCGCTGTTGACAGTGATCAGGCCAATACGTGAAGCCACCACGCCCACCGGTTAGCTAATAGCTACCATCTCAGCTAACCTCCAGAGCAAGTTATCGGGGGAAACGAGAGGCTAGGGGAGCTAGTTATAGTGCTCTATTTGAAAGGTGTAGATGTAATCCCGGCCAATAAATGTTGTGAATTACGCTTTCGTGGCATAAATAATCATATTAGCTAGCTGCCAATACATATTGAGGACATTGAATACATGTACTATAGTTTCCAGGCGACTTAACTGACAGCCGACACTGCACTAACGAGATATTTTCACATTGTTATCTTATGTACAGATCTGTTTTTTTGCCACAAACACGGCGATACAGTCCATCGAGAGCAGCTTAATTCAATACCTGTTAGGAAGCATCTAGTTAGCTTAGCTACCTCAGCTAACGTTTAGCTAGCGTTAGCTGTTAGGATGTAGTCGTGTTTAACCTCGTGGGCTCCTTTCCAACTTATGACAACTGTCGCAAATTGTTCAGTCATTAGCAGGACAACACAAGTTACCATAACATTAATTCACGTTTGGTAAATATGGCATTTACTACGAATTACCGCGCTAGAATTACCTTACGATTATCACGGGCTCTTGCGTTCAACTCTTCAGTGGCACGTTTCTACGGCAACCGCCTCACATTTATACCCCTCTACCGAGGCTCTACAACGGATTGGTCAAAACACTAACTACACATGTAGCATTTCGATATTCTGCAGAGAAAGACGCCTAAAACATTTTTCTGTCATGCAAAACATAAATCCCACTGTGTCTCCTGTACATGTGTAGATTGAACCTAATTTCTAAAGCACAAGGTAAACATTTGTTGTGAGTTGAACAAAATGGCAACTCGATGTAACAGAAGGACCCTGGATGATTGTCGGTTGACAGGAATAGTGACTCGTGGGTGCAGGGACACCAACTCTCTTTTAAATAATGTCACTACTCGTCTCGGTGTCTCCTCGGACGTGCCAGTGGCTGTCCGGCTGCTAGCCGAGGAGCAGTGTGTCGACACGAACGCAAAACTGGAACCTGGGCGGGGTGGTGCTTTCAAGCTCTGACACAGAAGCGAAAAACTTGGCTTCGACGAACACGTAAAAACAACCAGCCCCTTTTTACTATGCTCTTTACCAAAAAGTGACCATACGAATCCTGTGATGTACCGCCAATATATTTTTTATTTTAATGTTATAAAATGACATTTTTTATTCAATTATAACACTTGTAGCACTTCCCTAGCTTCTAAGTTTAGTGTATTTTATAGTATTTGTTTTATTCAGAGGTTTTTAACACTGGAAATGTCAAACGATAATACGAATATGGACGATTTACACAAGCACATACGTTTAAATTGTATTTGTTCTTAGTATATAGAATGAAGAGTTCAGATTTCTTTAAAAGAGTGGGGCGCATTGGGGCTTTACCAGGGTGACACGAACTACACATGAGTTTACTTCCTGTGAGCTGGAATTTGTTTTTATTTCAGGTCAGTTAACATATTGCAATAATATAAAATTAGCAGTTAAAACAAAAATTACACAGAAACACATGTGTGTATATATACACAATCTAATGAAAAAGCACAACAAGATTAAACATTAAAGTAATATTAGACATGCAAAGTAAATACATTTTCATTTTCACTTTGAGGTTATTGTCTCAAAGGTTTTCCTTAAACATACTGTCTACTGTAGCACACTTATTTAAAAAAAGAAAGAAAAATATTTCATCTCATATATTTCATTAAAGCTTAACAAACAACATAATATGATCCATGATAAATCTATAACTATTGTATCATTTAGAAATGTACTGAACTGTGAGCTGGAAGTCTTTAAATAACCCTGCCAGGTGTGAGTGTCTGTACTTTTACTATTCTCATGATGGTATCCAAATGGAATAAAAACATGCTCACCTTGGAGTGGGCTGAATTTAAAAACTGTCACAATTTTTAAATGTTTCAATGTAAGGATTGGTAAAAGCAAGCTATAATGGAATAACAAATGATCACTAATCGAGATCACTAATTAATACATTCTGCAGCAGAACTTACAGATGAACTAAGAGTGATGTTAAGAATATTATGTCCAGCGGAATGGTTTATCTGCTTCAAACCTTTTCTACATAACCATAATGAAAAAATAGTAATAAATCAAAGTCACTTGGTAAACATTATACTTTCAGATCTAATATGTTTAGCTCATACATGAAAGGACTTTAAATCAATACCTATTTATTGAGCTTTTACATATGTTGTCCACAAGATGGAGCCAAAATATGGGTTTTAAAGTATCCCGTGGAAGAGGTTCAAAGGCAGAAAGAAGCCTGTGGAATGTTGTTGTGGTTTGGGGTTTTGATACCCAAAAGTGATTTATTAAATTATTTTCAGTTCAGTATCTACCAGAGAAATGTCACTGCAATGTGACATGTTATTTCACTACTGAAAGCTAACACAGGGAGTTGTGTTTAGTCTGTTATAACCAAGAACCAAATGCACATCTTGCACGTCAAGTGATGTAATTCATTTTATGGCAGGCTGAAGATTTGTAAACTGTGTATCATTTATTTATATACAATCTGTCAGTGATACCCCCATAACCAGCCCACTTAAGTGATGGGATTTTGTTATATTTAGTGTGGTACTGTAGAAAAGCAGTTCATCTTTCATGCAATATTGGAGGCGGAGAGCAATACAAATATATTTGTGGAGATGAGGCACGCGCACTAGGGCAGCGTGCAGTAAATAAAGACAAAGTGCAGGGGGATTTAGAAAGTGAAAGGTGGGTTGTGAATCAGGTTGTCAGATTTCCTTACAGTTTTGAATCTGCCTATAAATACTGACACAGTGTGTGTTCCTCTGACAATGACAGGAAGCTTGTTCAGGAGGGAGGGGGTCATAGAGGAAAAGGCTCTGCCCCTGACGTTTCAAATGTGAGGAGTAAAACAACTTTTTGTTTGAATGAAAAAATATATCGTTCCTTAAACTGAGCAAAGTGTTGCTTTCTGCTATTATTCAGTGGTACAATTACTCAAATTACAATTACTCAAATACAAGTACTATTTTAATGTTATGCTACTTTACAAATCTATAATTATTTTTTAGATGTTGGGTTTGTACGTTTATGCCATCACATGGTTTAAGAGTTATACAACCAATTAAATCTGAGATATTAGTATAGGTTCAGATTCATATGACTTCTTTTGTCCATAAATATGCATGAAATCGAAGTGTGTCTTTGGCACCAGCATTTAAGACAACACTCAACATGCACAACATAACAGGTTCACTCACAATACATTACAGTTATGCATCTTAAAGTCTTAAAGTGACAAAGGGCAATCATAATAAAATTGCTAAGTGGATTGTTCTTTCGATGGCATGTAGCCCATTAAAATATCACAACAATGCATGTTATTCAGTAGTTTTAACAATTCATTAATATATATACATTAAAATGAGTTACAGTGCTGCTGAGGGCGATGGTTGCAGAATGTCCCTAAAATCATCCTTGATGCTTGGAAAAGGGGCTTAGGGTTGAAATGAGATGTGTGTGTGTGTGTGTGTGTGTGTGTGTGTGTGTGTGTGTGTGTGTGTGTGTGTGTGTTGGAGGTGGGGGGAGGGGGCAACGAGACTGACAGTAGGGACTTTCAATCTGAAGCCTGATGGCAGAAACAGAAATGTTGGCTTGAGAAGATACAGTGATAGTAGATCTGGATTGCCTTTTTGGAGTTGGTTGTCTTGATTTGTCTTCCTGGCCTGATTGACGAGTCAGATAGTTTTTTGTTTTATTGAGAGACATTTGATATAATGTAAAAAGTGAGACCAGTCTGTATACCATGGACAGGGTGTGCAGGCTGGTGTCTAAGACAGTTATTATTAACAGTAAGAATTAGTTCCTCCTCTATACAGCTAGAACTTTAAAATTCTACTGACACTGTCCAGTCACATCAGCAATAATGAATCCTGTTATATGACATAATACATTTAGCTGCTAACACTGCTATACATCTACTTTTGAATGCAGTTATTGAACTTGCAATGGAGCATTTTCGTAATAATGCTGCTTTAACATAAAGGGCCATACTTCTGTAAGGCTAATGCTTCTACACCTAATACCAATACGATCATATTTAGTTGTCTAAATCCTTAAATATAGATTACCCTAAAAAACAAGCAGAACTGTCTGAGGAGGATTATCTACACTATCCATAAGAGGGCAAAATAATCCATATATTTGTGTTTTCCTGGAATAATATTGTCGGCTTATTATTTAGTTTTCTGTGAAGTATAAAATGCTGAATACATGAAAGCACAATAACGTCTAAGAAAGTGAGTAGGCCTACATCCCACCTACTTTAGTAAGTACAAACACAGTGAGAAGGTAGAAGAGGCGCTAGAAAAAGATTATTATTACTATTTTAATTGAGAAAATGAAATAGACAGGGGCAGCATGCGTGATAGGAGTCTGTTATTATTCTATATTATTCCTAATGGGCCCCAGATGCTTTTAGTAAAAGATCGGGAGTCTGCATTTGAATAGAATTCAGATGTGTTACTGCTTTGATTGAGGATATAAAACCCAGCATTACAAAAAGATTCTTCTCATGTTTCCTGTTACTGATAAGTATTTTAACTCAAAGTGAGAACATGTGGGTAACTGTCTCACATGTGAAGTCTTGGTGTAGTGCACAGAGCCAGCTGTAGTAAAGTTTGAATGCTGGATTGGCCTGTTGTGGCCGTTTTGTGAGGAAGTTCGAGACAGCGGACCCCTGTTCAGTCTGACCATCGAATAACGGGGGGTTCCGTATTGTAACCCTAGTTATATAAGCACAGGTGGAGCCCTCTACTGGACTTTATGGGTACTACTCTCTATCATGCTATGCATGCATTCACCTACTGAGTTGCATAAATGTAGCTGGTCAATCAGGGTGAGCCTACCTGAATGCGCGCGCAGGCCCACAGTATATAAGGCGGCTACGCCTCCCGACCGTTATCCTTCACCCTCTTCAGCGAGCGGCATAGGAAAGACAGGGACCCCAGGTAGAGGGCTCCGCCTGTGCTTATATAACTAGGGTTACAATACGTAACCCCCCGTTATATATCACAGGCTCCGCCCTCTACTGGAATCTATGGGTACAGTGTGTGGAGCCCCGATGTATAAATGCCCTGTCGTCCAACAACATCGACCCATCACACTGCCTCTGACCGGCTTTTGGCTAACATCCACCGCACCCCCACTTCCTCCCATCCGGTTGTAACCGTGGAGAAGTCGGGGCCGCAGCTTGGATAAGGCACACTCACACACGCTTACCTCGTGTAGAGTGTGCATGGAAAAAAATAGTTGGGAAGTCCTCCGGCCCTGTATGGGGCTCACTGCGCACCATGTTTCCCAGGTCCCCAAGGAGCATGGGAAAAACATAAGTGCATTATGTCCAGGGAGGGGGGGGTCAGATACCTACTGACCCACAGCCCCCCCTCTCACCAGTCATGTGTTGCCCCGGCAAGCACAGACGACGAGAAGGAGCCAGACATGTCCAAGAGGTAAAACTTTATGAAGGGGCCTGGCGTAGACCAAGATGCCGCCGTGCAT